GCCTGTTTCGGCTCCCGCCCACACGGCCGGCCTGCCCGCGCTGTCGCCTGGCATCGCTCGGGCGCGTGCACTTTTTCCTCGGCGAGGGCCATCGAGGAGCATCCTGGACCATCGAGCCAAAAAAAAAAACACCCACGACATCGAACAACGCACGGGGAACGGACGTCCGAGCGATGGCGAGGTCGTCGTCGTTGGCGTCGGCGTCGTCGACGTCGTCAGCGTCGTCGTGGTCGTCGGCCGTCGTGGTCATCGTTGTCGGTGTCTTCGTTATCGCCGCCGTCGTCGTCATCGCCGCCGGCGTCCGCGTCGTCGTCGGCGTCGGCGTCGGCGTCAGCGTCAGCATCATTTTCCGTATCGCTCGGACGTGTGCACTTTTTCTCGGTGGGGATTACTAAGGAGCATCCTGGATCACCCTGCGACAAAACCACGCACGAAACCGGAAAAAAAAACACAGGGAATGGACGTCCGAGCGATGGCCAGCATTTTCTCCGTCGTCATCGTCGTTGTCATGCCCGTCTTGCTCGTCGTCGTGGTCGTTTGCCAGGGGCGCAGGGCTTGTTCGACCCCCCCCGCCCAGCCATTTTCGGGGGGAGTCCTGGTTCGAACATGCAATACATGAGTTCTGCTCCCTCAGGCCATCCTTGGAGAGGGGGAGACATAATGAGATGTAGATGGAGTGAGTGAGTGAAGGGATCGAGGGGGGTGGGCGGCGTGAGGCCGCAGGGATGGAGGGAGGGAGCGTGAGGGCGATGAGCAAAACGGAGAGAGGGATAGAGGTAGAGAGGGAGGGAAGGAGGGATGCGGGGGGAATAGAGAGAGAGAAGGATACATAACGGTACGATACCGCTTTTGAGAGAGAGAGAGAGAGAAAAAAAATAATGGTACGATACAGTTTAAAGAGACAGAGAGAGAGAGAGAGACGTTTTATTACCAATACCTGTACGGCCACCCTGCGGGTGATAAGGAGGTTGTGGGGGGGGAGAGGGGGGGAACCAACATCTGACTCAATCGATCTCACTATCGATCTCACTCAACGGGACACCACGGGACACTTGTCGATCTCACTATCGATCTCATTGTCGGTCTCACTCAACGGGACACCGCGGGACATCGCGGGACACCTCTCGATCTCACTATCGGTCTCAAGATCGATCTCACTATCGATCTCACTCAACGGGACACCATAGGACACCACGGGGCACCTCGGGACACCACATCGATCTCACTATCGATTTTACCCAACGGGTCACCACGGGGCACCTGTCGATTTCATTATCGGAGAGAGCGTGATCCACCGCCGCTTTACTATGGAAAATTCCCCCGCCTCTTCCTCCGGAACCTGGGGGGTCCCCCCCCTCCGAAAATCCCCCCCCCTGCTGGACCCCCCCCCCCTTCCCCCGGCAAAACACCCCCCCCTCCCCTAACTCCCCCCCCCCCCCCCCTTCAGAAAACCGGGGGGGGTCACTACCGGTTCGAACCCCCACCTCCCCCTCGGAAAACCAGGAAGGGTCACTAGCGGTTCGAACCCCCTCCCCAGAAAACCCAAGGAAGGTCACTACCGGTTCAAACCCCCTCACCTCGCTGCAGAAAACCGGGGGGAGATCACTATATACCGGTTCGAACCCCCCCCCTCGAAAACCGGGGGGGGTCACTACTGGTTCGAACCGCCCCCCCATCTCCCCCCTCGAAAACCGGGGGGGGGTCACTACCGGTTCGAACCCCCCCCTTCCTGTCCCCACCTCTGTTCCCACAACGGTTCCATTCTCCCCACTTTCTCCATTGCCCCAACCACTGCCCGACTATCCCCACTGTCCCCACTGTCCCACTATCTCCTCCGCTGTCCCACTGTCCCACTGTTCCCACCACTGTACCCACCACTGTCCCCACTGTACCTCTGTCCCATTGTCCCACCGCCGTCCTGGCCACCGCCCTTACCACTGTCCCCACCACCGCTGTACCCTCCACTGTCCCACTGTTTCCACCACATTCCTACTGTCCCCACACCACTGTCCCCACCACCACCGTCCCCACCACTGTCCCACTGTCCCCACACTATTGTCCCCGCTGTCCCCACCAGTGCCCCCCCCAGTGTGTCAATGTCTCCACTCTCCCCACCATTTCCCCACGGTCCCCACCACTGTCCCGCTGTCCCCACTGTACCCACTACTTACTGTCCCACTGTCCCCGCCGCTGTCCCACTGTGATTTCCCAGCGTCCCCACTGTCCCCATCACTGTCCCATCGTCCCCACTGTCCCCACCACTCTCCCCACCGTGCTACTGTCCCACCAGTGTCCTCACCACCGCCTTCACCACTGTCCCCACCACTACCGTCCCCACCACTGTCCCACTGTCCCCATCACTGTCCCGCTGTCCCCTCACCACTGTCCCCACCACCACCATCCCCACCACTGTCCGCACCCCCCCCCGTTTTCGAGGGGGGGGGGTCGAACCGGTAGTGACCCCCCCCCGGTTTTCGAGGGGGGGGGGTGTTCGAACCGATAGTGACCCCCCCTCCTTTTCATGATGGACTGGGTGGGAGGGGGGGGGTTCGAACTGGTAGTGACCCCCCCCGGTGTTCTGGAGGGGGGGGGAGGGGGGGGTTCGAACCGGTAGTGACCCCCCCGGTTTTCGGACAGCAGCGGTAGAACACGCTCTTTCCATTATCGATCTCATTATCGATCTCACTTTTGGGGACACCACGGGACACCTCGGGGCACCACATCGATCTCAGTATCGAGTTCACGGTCGATCTCAGTATCGATCTCATTCAGCGGGAGACCACGGGACACCACGGGACACCTGTCGATCTCACTATCGATCTCACTATCGATCTCACTTTTTGGGGCACCACGGGACACCACGGGACCCCTCGGGGCACCACATCGATCTAATTATCGATCTCACTATCGATTTCTCTCAACGGGACACCACGGGACGCCACGGGACACCACGGGACACCACGGGACACCGCGGGACACCGCGAGCCACCGCCGCACGGACGGACGGGCGGGCGGGCAGGGGATAATCATTTGTCTTGACTTCGCCCTAGCAACGGCGGGTTCATTCCTCTCGCGCGCCCACGCAGCTTCGCCTCGCCCGCACGCACGACACGAATAAACGAAACGATTTCCCGCTTGGGGGTCTCCGTTCCACTGCGATCTCACCCCCCAACCTCCGACTTATATATGTTAAGGGCTTCGCCCTCTGCCGACGGCCCCCTCTTACTTATGCACGCGGTTGCGTGGATGGCGCCGTGGGCGCTTCTCGTGGCAGACCTCTCCGCAGCGTATGCGGTCTTTGTTGGAGCTTCTTGGAAGCCGTTTTGGAGCCTCTTGGGGCATATTTGGGGTCTCTTGGGAGTCTCCTTGGGGCCTCCTGTGGGCCTTTTGGGGGCCTCTTGGGGCCTTCTTGGGGCCTCCTGGGGCCCTCCCGGGGCGGAAAGGTAGAGATTTCGGGTCGTGGATTCGCTCTTGGGCCTTTCTTGGGACCGTCTTTGGGCCCTGTTGGGCCGTCTGGGGCGCCTCTTGGACAGTCTTGGGGTCCTCCTCGGCCGTCTTGGGGGCCTCTTGGGCCGTTATGGGAGTTTCTAGGGCCATCGTGGGGCGATCTTGGAAACCGCTTGGTCCGTCTCGGAGCGTCGGAAAGCTGAAAAGGCGAGAAGGCCAACAGTCCTCAAACACGTTGAACAAATCATTGATTCTTGCTTCGTTTAGCCCTCTTGGAATGCCTCTTGGAGGCCTCTTGGAGGCCTCTTGGGCCGTCTTGGATGCATCTTGGGCCGTCTTGGGGCCATCGTGGGACATCTTGGGGCCATTTTGGGCCGTCTCGGGCTCCTGAGGCTCTCTTCGAAGCCTTTTCGGGCAATCTTGGAGGCCTCTCGGGCCGCTCTGGCCGCGCGGTGGCGTCACCATGAGAATCCTGGGGTGGCCCGGAGCAGGCAGAATTAGAGGTTCCCCTCCCTCGTTGGCTGTTTGGTGTCGCGGCGGGCCCTCTAGCAGACAGTAAGCAGGAGGCAGGAAACAGGACTGGAGATACAATAGGCCAAACAACACACGACAACACATCACACATGACAGCAGACAGCACACACCTTCGCAGCCTTGCGCCCCCCCGGAGGGGGCTGGCGGATACATACATACGTACACACATGCACACATACATACCTACCGACCTGCCTACCTACCTGGCTACCTGCCTACCTACCTACATACATGCATATACACGCATACATACATACAGGCGTGCATCAACACGTAACTACATTCATACACACATACATATACGTATACAAGCATGCACGCCTACATACATACATGCATGCATACATACATTCATACATACATACATACATACACATACATACATGCATACATACACTCATCCATACATACACACATACGTAAATACATGCACTCATACATACATGCATACAGACATACACACAGACATACATACGTGAATACATACACACATGCATGCATGCATACAATCATACATACATACACGCATACATACATACATACATACATACATACATACATACATACATACACACATACATACATACATACATAACTGCATACATAACTGCATACATGCATACATACATACATACATACATACATACATACACACATGCATGCACACATACATGTACACATACCTACATACATGCATACGCACATACATACACACATACATACATACATACATACAAACAAACATACATGCATGTATGTATACATACATACATACATACATACATACATACATGCATGCATGCATGCATACATACATACATACATGCATACATACATACATACCTACATACATACATACATACATACATACATGCATACATACATACATACATACATACATACATACATACATACATACATACATACATACATACATGCAGGCATGCATGCATGCATACATACATACATACATGCATGCACACACATGCATACACACGTATACACATGCATACGCATCCAGTTGCTTCGGCTCAAGACTGCTGCCGCTGGGCTTCCCTCCGTCGGTCGCCCGCCTCGGTCCGATGCCTGCGACGAAGCGGGACGCCCGCGCCATCGCGCTGGATGCTGCTCGGGGCTCGGCCCTGGCCGTCCACGCGGCTGCGGGGCTGACGGGAGGCGCTGGAGAGCTCGCAGCGGCGAGGCTCCTGTGCGCTGCCGATGGCATCATCAGGTCGGCCGTGGCGCTCCTCGCTGCCCCGGTGCCGCCGCCAGCGCAGGCCCAGGCCCCAATGGGCCCTCGGAGGCGCAGGCGCCCGCGTGGGCGCGGCGGCAAGCGGGAAGCGGGCCAACCCCTGGCCGACAAGATGGAGCTCAGCGACGGCATGGCGGCGGCGGAGCAGTGCGGCCTCGAGGACACCGCGCCCTCGGCTGCGGCGACGCTCGCCCCTGGCGTCGAGGTGGAGGCGACCGCGGACGGCGGAGGCGCCGACGCTGGAGCTGCGCGAGCGGGCCTGGAGCTCGTGCACGCGCCTGCGGCGGCGGCCGACGGCGACGGCGACGACAGGATGAGCATCCCTGAGGACGAGTGGGCCGACTCGGTTCAGCGGCGTGCCAGGCCGCCTCCACAGCTGCTGGCGCCAGCCGCCCTCCCCGCCCTGCCCGTCGGCGCGCGGGTGCGGGCCACCGAGGGCGCCAGCGCGCGTGCGACAGCGGTGGTCCTCCTCGACATGGAGGATGGCCTCGTCGCGATCACCTTGGAGGACAACATCGAGGTGTCTTTCACGGTCCCGCGTGGCGCGCTGGAGTTGCTGGCGCAGCGGCCCGCCAAGTCGGGGTGAGGCCCTCGGGCCGACTCGGCGTGAGGCGAAGGCCTGCGGGAGCGGGCGGCGCGGCTCCCGCAGGCGGCGGCGGCGGCGGGGCTGGGCGCTCCTCGTCGCTACGTTTCGTCGTCCCGCCAGTTATCCGTGCGATGCTGGGCGGAAGGGGGCTGGGCCTGATGCGGACCTTTTTGGTGCATCCCAGTCCCAGGGCTGGGCCCGATGCGTTCTCGTGGCGAGTGCATCCCAGCCCTTTTATGACACACTTGTGCGTATCTTTTCGCTCCGCGATTTGATAAGAGTGTGCTGGGCCTCAGTGGCTCGCGGCCTCAGTGGCCTCTGTTGTTCAGGGTTTTGTTCGTCTCACTTGTGGTTTCGGACGACTCTCCTCCGACGTGCGACGCTTGCATACGCATCCATACATATACATACATACATGCATACGTACATGCATACATGCATACATACATGCACACATGCATACATACATGCATCCATACATACATACATGCATGCATACATACATACATAAATACACACATACATACATACACACATGCATACATACATCCATATAACCATACATACATATGTACATACATGCATGCACCCATGCATACATACATTCACACTTCCGTGCACACAAACACATACACACATACAAACACACGCACAAACAAGCACACACAAGGATATACACAAACTAATATATGTTACATTTGACCATCTACGTAAGTATGTTACGTGTCAAAGAGAGGGGCATTGCTATCCACATCTATATCGTAACACAGACATATCGTTATGCATCCAATATAGTGAGGCGGGTTAAGTAGAACAGCGAAGTGGAATCTACAGGTGGAGGCAATGAGGTTGGGGTAGGGGAGCCGGAACAGGGTGGGTAGAGCAGGTTCCAGTGGGCGGCGATGCTCGCGATTGCCAAGGAGGCCGGCTTCCAGGTCGTCCTGCGCGACTCATATTCTTGCTCGGTTTCTCTTTCTCCCCCCTCCTTTTCAGGGCTCATTTCGACTCCTCCGTTTCGATTCGATTCGATCTCGATGGCTTCCGATTCCGATTTGATTCGATTTCGGATTCCGATTTGGATTCCGACGTCTCATTGGAGGCCTAGTAGTCTGCGGATTTCCGCCGTTCCGACCCGTCCTGGCTCGGTTGCCGATTTCCGCTGATCCGATTCATTTCGCGCCGATCACACATCGATTCGATTCTGGGCTCTCCTGCCACTGTCTCCTGGGGTCCTTTCCAGAGCAATATCGAGCGATGCCCCGCCAAGCGCATGTGCCACCCATGTGATTTCAGGCGCTGATGCTTGAAAGGAGCTTTAAAACTTTCAAGATTGTTGCTTCCACTGCAGCGTTGGCCACATTACACGATCGGAACTGATCTTCCGCCGTGCAGCTCCTCTTCACTCGTCCTCCGCCTTCCCTGGATCGTGTGCTCCTCTCGCGCCTCCTCGGGCTCCTGCTGCTGCTGGTTCTTCCCTTCCGTTCCCGTCCAGCGCCTCTTCCTGCCGCTCACACGCGGCATCCTGCTAGTACTCTATCGTATGCTAGTATAACGCTCGTTTGTCTGATTACGCACCGCACGACGGGGTCACTTTCAGGATCAAGGTCCTCTAGGACACCCCAGTCCGCCGACAGAACACCTTGCAGCAACATGAGAAGGGATGAGTGGGAGGGGTCGGAAATCAGATATAGCGCCAGTGCACAGCTTGTCATACGCCTGATCTCCATCCTCCTCTTCCTCCTCCTCCTCCTCCTCCTCCTCCTCACCTGGCTACGGCCGAGGCCCTCGGCGCCCGTGCTGTGGAGCTCAGGACCCGTGCGGCCTGACCCGAAACTGAAATGCTGTCGTCTGAGCTGAAAGCCCTGGCCTGTGGGGCGTCCCTGGCCCCAGGTGACAACCCCTTTGAGGCTGATGTGCCGCTTTTGTTTTGATGCATGTTGGAATGCGATCGCGTCCCCAGCGGGTGCGGGACTCGTCCTTCTCGCCCATTTTGGGCGTCGCGTGATGTGGGAGCGATGGCAAGGGGCCCTCTCGGGCCCAGACGGGGGCCTCTAGGGCCCGAGAAGTGCACAATGTTTCTCCTTCCTCCCCCCAGTTATCGCCCGCCCACCAAGCGGCGCCCAACTTTCGCGCCATCGACTTCGCCCCGCCTCCCAGGTCGTTGTGCGCGACCTGAAGTACAGGCCGCAGGACACCGCGCAGATGCGCGGGCTCGCCTCGCTGGTGTGGGAGGCGTGGGGCCGCGACGGGCCCTCGGGACGAGGGGAGGAGGAGGAGCGGGCGGAGGAGGAGGAGGAGGAGGAGGAGGAGGGGGAGGAGGATCAAGAGGAGGAGGAGGAGGAGGAGGAGGAGGAGGAGGAGGAGGACGAGGACGAGGACGAGGACGAGGACGAGGAGGAGGAGGAGGACGGGGAGGCGGAGGAGGGTGAGGAGGAGGAGGGGGAGGAGGAGGAGGAGGACGTCGGGCGCACCCCCTCGGCTCCGATGAGGCGCGGCGAGGGGGCGGAGACGAGGGAGGACCGGGCGGATGGTAAGTCAGAGGAGGAAGAGGTACCCACACCGCTAGGTTCAGGGCGAATCCCCCCCCCCTTGCGAAGCTCATGAATTCATCCTCAGCCCTCTCTCTCCTCTCTCCTCTCTCCTTCCTCTCCTCTCCTCTCCTCTCTCTCTTTCTATTCCGTGTCGCGCGCGGAAGGTCTCGCGTCAGCGCCCACGTCTCCAATGTGGCTTGCCGCGCCTGTGACCCGCGGAAACCGCAGCGTAAGGTCGCTGCGTCATCTCGCGTAAGATCTGTTTTTGATCGTCGCTCACGTGGGGGTGGCGCGCCGAGGAGGAGAAGCGAGAGGGGGCAGGCCTTCTCAGCAGGCGGCCGGGCGTCTCGGAAGCCCTCTGGCCTCCCGAGAAGCCCTCTGTGGTTTCGGACTTCAGTCACCGCCCGCCCCCTTCTCAGTTCCCCTTCGGCATGCCACTGCCGATCCCTACTGCCCGTCGATGTGGACCAGTATGGGGTTCCGAACGTGCGAGCGAGCATGGGAGGAGGCAACACCCGCTGGTGAACTGCTGGTCTACATCGATTGGCGTAGGGGCAGGGCTCACACGTGGCTTCCTTGCTTTAGCCGGCGGCGAGCCCAGGGGGGAAATGAGGGGGCAGCCGTCCCACCACCTGTTCAGTATCTTTCTCCCTTCTTTCGTCCTCCTCCTCCTCCTCCTCCTCCTCCTCCTCCTCTTGATCCTCCTCCTCCTCCTCTTGATCCTCCTCCCCCTCCTCCTCCTCCTCCTCCTCCTCCTCCTCCTCCGCCCGCTCCTCCTCCTCCCCTCGTCCCGAGGGCCCGTCGCGGCCCCACGCCCCTCATCCTCGTTGTCATCGTCCTTCGAGCGTGGGCGTTGTCGGGGGAGGGGTCCGGATGGCTGCCACCCGCCAGACCACTCACACCCTATACTGCTGGTGGGATCTCGTCTCAAGACGCGTTGGCTCAGCCTGCTGCCCGCTGCAGCCTGCACAAGCAGCGGCCTCCCGGCCTCACTCCGCGCGAAGGCCTACCCCGATGGCCCGCCCGGTGCTCGCGGCCGCCGCCCTCTTGCCGGCCGCCCCCGCCGCCGCGCTTCTGGGGTGCGGAACGGAGTTTCCCTACTACGCGGTTCGAACTTCCGTACAATGGCCGGAAGTCCGTCCAAACGGCGCTCTCGCCTCGGCGCGGGCAGCACACCGCCCGCGTCCCCTGCACGTCGTGGCCAGTTTAAGAGCGAATCGAGGGAATGTCTCAGCAGAAACCGGCGCTGTTGGTTCAGATGCGGGGCTGCGGCTCCTGTCAGATCGGATGCTATAAGCAGGTTCCCACGACATGCGAAGATGTGGACTCGTGCTGCCAATGTTTCTCGAATAGGGTCCAGTCTCTGTCGGATGCCCGCACTGGGAAGGAGGGTCAGCTCGTCGAGTCCGACCCCAACGATCCAGAGAAAGTGAAGGACCTGCTCTGTGGGCGGGTGCTCAGCGAGCTGTATGAGAAGTGCCCACTCTGCAAGGACTGCGAAGAGAAGTGCGGCCTCGACAACTGGGATTCGGTGGACCCCGCCAGGCTGTAGTCTGCGATGGACGGCCTGCCGTTGGCAGGTCAACGGTCTCTCGCCGCGGCGATCGGCCTGGCAGCGATCGGGGGAGCCGCGCTGCTCGCAGCTGCCGCAGTGGCCTCCAGGCGCTATGGCGCTTTCTCCGTGCAGGTGGGCATCTCTGCGAGCGAGGCCGCGGGTGAGGGCCAGGGCGCCCCGATCATGGTGTCGGGGGGCTGATCGGCCCTGGGGCAGATAAGCGGGACGCGGCCCAGGACCGAGCGCCGGTAGATTCTGGGCCTGGGGCTTGGGTAAGGTGGGGCCTCAAAGCAAGCGCTCCGTAACTACTTGGCTTTCCGGGCCAAGGGCCTTAGGGAAGGTGGCGCCTCAAGGCATGTGTTCCGTGCTGAATTCTGGGGGCGCGACATGGTTCCTATTTTTTCCTTGCGTTAAAGATAGGCGAGACTTATCCTCCTTTTGTTTCTCCTCCTCCTCCTCCTCATCCCCCTCCTCCTTCTCCTCCTCCTCCTCCTCATCCTCCATTCTCTCCTGCCAGCAGGGGGATCCGGGCCGCGGGAGGCCGAAGCGCGCCTGGAGGACGCGACGATCTGGAGTTTTGCTGTAAGCTATGCCTTGTTCGAAGCAGAGGATCTCGCTGCATTCACAGTGGATCCTCGTATACAGCTGGGTCAGGCAGGTGCAGGTTTTACACCCCCCTTCCCTCAGGCTTTTGGCTGGGCCGGCGGGGCCGGCCAGGTGGTAGGTGCGCGTGCTCGCTCTTCCGTCGCCCTGGCCGCCGCCGCAGTGCACAGCCCACGCAGCAGCGTCGTCGCAGGATGGAGTCTCCTCCCCTCCAGGGTTTCCCCCCTGATCGTCTGGCGTCTTCACCCGCGCTCGGCGTTTCAACCCCCATTCCCCTGGCTTTTGGCAGGGGCGGCGGGGCCGGACGTGCTCAGTCCCGTTTCGCTCGAGCCATCCTCGAAATCCAGGCAAACCAGAGCAGTTCAAACTTCTTCGGTTCGCGTCCCAGCCGGGCGAGCTCGAGTCGAACGCACTGGCGTCAGGCGGCGTCGATTTTCCACGCCTGGGGCAAATTTGTGAAATATCGAGTGGCGTCGAGTTGCCGCCGCCCGTTTTAGCTCCACCAGTGGCCGCAGCGGCAGGGTTCGCATGCGTGACGGTGCCCATGTCGGCACACCCTCACGAACATCATGGCCCTATAGGTAGGGAACTCCAAAGTTGGCCCCGTTGACAGGGTTCACATGCGTGACGGCGCCCACTTCGACGCACGCCCCACGAAGATCGTGGTCCCATAGTTGGCTCCACAGAAGGCCACAGCGGCATGGGTGCGCATTTGTGACGGCGCCAGCACACGAGGATCGTAGCTTCCATTGGGAGCCCCACCGCAGGCAACAGTGGAAGGGTTCGCATGCGAGGCGGCGCCCGTGTCGGCACATCCCTCACGAGGATCGTGGCCTCATAGGGTGCTCCACCGCAGGCCCCAGCCTTAGGGCTCGCATGCGTGACGGCGTCCATTTCGGTTCGCCGCTCATGAGGATCGTGCCCCCTAGGGAGCTCCACCGAAGGTCGCATTGGCAGGGTTCGCGCGCGTGACGGCGCCCACTTCGGCACACCCCTCACGAGGATCGTAGCTCCCAATGGGAACTCCGCAGCAGGCCCCAGTGGCAGAGTTCGCATGCGTGGCGACGTTAATTTCGCCACACCCTCAACGAGGATCGTGGGCCTAGAGGAGCTCCACCGAAGGCGGCATTGGCAGGGTTCGCAAGCGTGACGGCGCCCATTTCGGCACACCCCTCACGAGGATCGTGGCCGCATAGGGAGCTCACCGCAGGATCCATTGCGAGACGGCGCCCGTGTCGGCACATCCCCCACGAGGATCGAGACCCCATACGGAGCTTCACGAAAGGCGCAATTTGCGGTGCGCGTTCCTCGCGCGCGGTTGGGACCTACGTAAACGCGTGCGAAGCGTGCGCGCGTGATTCTAGCCGTCGGCCAGGTCCCTGGGCCAGGGGGCGGCCCACTTCCCCCCGGCGTCGAAAGCTTAGTCCCAGGAGCCGGCGGCCTTTTTTGAATGGTCCAGGGGTTTCTCTGGACCTCGAATTTTTTTTCGGCGACCCCACAGGACGCTCAGAGGCCGCAGGGACGCTCCCAAGACGGTCCGATATGATCGTAAAAGGACCCAAGCGGCCCCCAAGGCGGCCGAAAAACGCCCGAATGGAGCTCCGAGGATGCCTCCGAGAAACCTAAGTTGTTGAAGAACGATATGTTTTCGTACAATTTTAATATTCTCGCCCAGTTGCTTCCAACAGCGTCAAAGACGGCTAACATAGCCCCCAATGTCGCTTTTCGGGCGATTCAGGGATCCACCAAGAGGACACCAAGACGGCGCAGAACACCCCAAGAGGGCCCAAGAGGCCCCACGACAAGCCCAAGAAGTTCCGATGACAGCCCGAAGACGCCCCCAGAAAACCCCCAGTTTGCCCACAGAGGCATCCAAAACGGCATCCGAAGGCGTCTGTCGGGCTACGAACGCTCTGAGACAGCCAAGAAGGCCCCCAGGAGAACTCGAGAGGCCCCAGAAGCGCCCCGAAGGAGCCACCAGCAGACACCGAATTGGCGTTCAATACGCACCGGAGAGCTCCCCCAGAAGATCCAGAGATGCCCCACAGGAGTCCCACAAAGACGACCCGCCATGTTCTTGAGAAAGTCCCCAGAGCTTCCCAGTAGCTCAGAAGAGACTCAAGACGGCCCAGGGGAGTCCCAACACGACCCAAGAAATAGCTTTGGTAACGATGGTTCGCTGTTGTTCTGTCCTGACGCGACGGGTGCCAAGACAGCTACTTGCCTCCGAGGCGTTCTTTCGAGTCAATCCGAAACGTTTTAATTTCTGGCGCCAGGCATTTTGCCAGAGCGCTTGCAGAACGGCGTAGTTTTCAAAATTATCCTGGCGACCTACCCAACCCCTGCGCAATGCGGGGCATGAGTAGTTTGGGAGACGTTATACGGAGGTGATGACGTGACATGGGCGCATATATTTCTACGAGCGGCATTCGTGAAACTCGCAGCCCCCCAGGGACGGCGAGGTCCCGCTCAGATCTGCGTGGCGCCTCTTTCCGCTGGACCCACCACCAGCCTTCGAAAGTAGCGACGGCTTCGCAGATCGCAGCCCCCCAAGGACGACGATGTCTCGCTCAGATCTGCGCGGTGCCTCACTCCGCTGGACACCAGCAGCCCTCGAAAATGGCGACGGTTTCGCAGATCGCAGCCCCCAGGGACGGCGAGGTCTGCGCGGTGCTCACTCCGCTGGATCCACCAGCAGCCCTCGAAAGTGGTGACGGTTTGGCAGATCGCTACGTTGGCCCCAAGCAGCCCTCGAAAGTGGCGACAGCATCGCAGATCGCAGCCCCCAGGGACGGCGAGGTCCCGCTCAGATCTGCGCGGCACTCCGCTGGACCCAGCAGCCCTCGAAAGTGGCAACACTTTCGCAGATCGCAGCCCCCCCCCAGGGACGGCGAGGTCCCGCTCAGAGCTGCGCGGTGCGTCACTCCGCTGGACCCACCAGCAGCCCTCGCAAGTGGCGACGGTTTCGCAGATCGTTGTGCTGGCCCCCCAAGCAGCCCTCGAAGGTGGCGACAATTTCACAGATCGCAGCCCCGCCGAGGGACGGCGAGTCCCGCTCAGATCTGCGCGGTGCCTCACTCCGCTGGACCCACCAGCAGCCCTCGAAATTGGCGACAGTTTCGCAGATTGCAGCCCCGCAGGGACGGCGAGGTCCCGCTCAGATCTGCGCGGTGCCTCTTTCCTCTGGATCCACCAGCAGCCCTCGAAAGTGGCGACAACATCGCAGATCGCAGCCCCCCACGGACGGCGAGGTCCCGCTCAGATCTGCGCGGTGCCTCATTCCGCTGGACCCACAGTTTCGCAGATCGCAGCCCCCCAGGGCCGGCAAGGTCCCGCTCGGATTTGCGCGGTGCCTCACCCCGCTGGACCCACCAGCAGCCCTCGAAAGTGGCGACAGTTGGGCAGGAAAAGAGGATATAGTCAAGGGTATAATCGAGCTTCTCAGACCACAGAGGGCTAGGTTCAATGAACTCGCAGGGCCTGGGTTCATCGAGGGAAACACTGATCATGTTCACCCTATACGTATATCTAGTGAGGGTATCAAAGAGTATGTAAACTACACTACAAGCAGAGACTCTGGCTTGTTTATGGGGTGTAGAATCTGGTGTGCACATCCATGCCGCCATCGCAGATGCTCGCAGGATGCTTGGTGCCGGAAAGAAGCTGCCAACTGATTGGGAAGACAATTCAGCCATGCCTATGAGGCATTTCTGGATGACGGATTGCAGTAGTCGTGAAGAACATCTTATAACCCCAACTATGGGCAAGACAGAAGATAAGCGATCGAATATTGATTCAGGGACTAAGACAGGACATTTGGACTACACGAATGGACGATGTAGAGATCCCGCATCCACGCAAATTTTGTGATAAGATTCGATGGATCGATACAAGTATTATGGCTGTTGATTGTAACGAAGAAGATGCCTACGGATTTCCTTGTTAAGATCTTACGTGCTGGGTCGTATGTTTTAACCCCAGATCCTGAGTCTACCCTAAAGAAGGTTAGTAAACAACTGGCGAGGGCCATAGTGAGTGCTATTCTATCAGGGGGGTAAGTGACTGAGTCTTGGCTGCCTTGACTTTAGCAATCCCAACATGGGACTGTTCCTTTTGACTTCCGCGAGAAGTTTATTGAGATCAGCGGTATTGCGCGGTCTACCGGCTAGCTCGTGATAAAGTTTCACGGGTGTGAGGCAGTGTATGCGTGAGGTGTGTATACGCACCACTCGCCGCCACTCGCCGCCGTTTGGCGTCTATGGCCCCCTTTTTCTGGAGCCCGTTTCTTTATTGCTTGGGGCATGACGGGCGTCATGGCCCCCGTTCCCCCCCCCCCCCATATGACGGAACGCTCCCCTCCCAGTGCGCTCCGGGAACTGCCGCCGTGCGCATTGGGATCCGCGTAGGAATCCGCATAGGTGTCTGGTCCGCAGGCGTCGTCGTCGTCGTCGTCGTCGTCGTCGTCGTCGTCGTTGTCCGTCGTCGTCGTTCGTGGTTCGTCGCTCGTCGCTCATCGTCGTCGTGCGCGCGGACGCGGCTGGAGCCTGTTGTTAAGTCCGGGCCGATGACGGCAACCATCTGGGGGGGGAAGGGGTCGATGACGTCACGTTTCGCGCCGGCGGCGTCTGGGAAAGCTTAGGAGTGACGGAGGACGGGTAGCACGAACATGTAGGTGGCGATATGCACCACAACGCCTGTGTACATCACAGTGCCCGCGTGCACCACAGCGTCTGTGTACACCACACCGCCGATGTACATCACAGCAGCCGCGTGCAACACAGCGTCAGCATGTGCCACCGCGCCTGCGGGCACAGCAACTCCTGTGTACACCACAGCGCCTCCGTACACCACATCAGCCGTGCGCAACACAGCACCAGTGTACACAATGCCAGCGTGCATTGCAGTGCCTGTGTGCGCCACGGCGCGTGTGTGCACCGCATCAGCCGTGTGCGACACAACACCGTTGTTGCGTACAGAAATTCAGAAGGAATCCTTGTGACAAAATGGAGCGCGTGGGGACTCCAGAGAAAACAATGGAACACAAATCTTCATGGACGACGGAGCGCCGCTGGAATCTACGAGTCCCCCCGAGTCCGCCCGCATCACCCTAACTCCCACATGCGTCCAGGAGGCTCCAGCTAAAGTGGCCGTCCGAGAATCAAGGGGACCGATTCAATCGACCATTCTGCGGTGCACGCTGAGATGCGCACGTGCGTTGTAACGCCAAGCCGCACGACAGGGGGTAAGAATGAGGAAAAAGAGGAGGAGGAGGAGGAGGAGGAGGAAGAGGAGGAAGCAAAGGAGGAGGAGGAAGCGGAAGAGGAGGAGGAGGAAGAGGAGGAGGAGGAGGAGGAGGGAGGAGGGAAAAACGTCGCATTCGATTATCAGAACTTTCTTGGCGTGGCGTCTCGTTGTCCGCGCAGATCCTGACGTACATGCTCTTTCTACCTGTCCTATGCACGCGTGCACTGTGGTGTACACCAGCACTGCGTTGCATGCGGATGCTGTGGTGCAGACAGGCGCTGTGGCGTGCACAGGCGCTGCGGTGCACGCAAGCACAGTGGTGTTCACAGGCGTTGTGATGCACATGGCTGCTGCGGTGTATGTACACCAGCGCTGTAGTGCTCCCAGGTATTGTGGTATACACGGGCGGTGCGTTGCACACGGCTGTTGCGGTGTACGCAGGCGCTGTGGTGCACACGCGCGGTGTGGTACACGCGAGCGTTGTGGTGTACACAGGCGCAGTGGGCAGATCGCCACTTACATGCTGCTCGCGTCTTCGTCGTCGCTCGTCGCTCGTCGCTCGTCGCGTCGTGCGCGCGGGCGCGGCTGTGGTGCCGGAGCCACACGGCGGGGGGGGGGGCGTCACGTCATACCCCCCCCCGCCCTCCCCCCCCCCCATGACGCCCGTCATCGCCGAACATAAAGAAACGCGCTCCTGCCAATGCGCTAAAACGCATCATAATCACAGGGGGGTTGTGAAGGGCGTTTTTTTTCAACTCCAGTTAGGTCACCCGCCATTGCCACCCGTCCGCGAGGACTACGAGGGGGAACAAGATAATGTGAGGCAGGAAACGCAAGAAGATGAGGCGGAGCAAGGACGACGACGACCCCGGCGGGTACGGACGACGGCTTGAGGGAAGAGATGGGGCGGGGAGGTCATTGAGGAGGCGGAGGATGAGTACATGCAGGTGGGACGAAAGAGGACGGGGAGGTCAATTAGGAGGCTGAGGATGAGTAGATGGAGGGGGGGAAGAGGAGGTTAGTAGATGCAGGGTGTGGGAAGAGGAGGATATTGAGGAGGAGCACGAGGAAGAGGTGGAGGAGGTGGAGGAGTGGAGGACCCGCAGCCCAACAGACTTCCGCGGGAATCGCGATGATCCCGTGGCTGCGTGGAGTGGCCCGTTTTGGGGGATCCTTGTGCGCATGTGACACATGAAGACGACGAGGACGAGGAGGAGGAGGGGAGGGAGAGAGGGAGGGATGAGGTGATTGGCTTGGCATCGTTCGGACGTGTATATCTTTCCGGGTGAGGACAGCGCCAGATAATCTGGGCCATCTCGGAGCATCTAGAGCCAAACGCACGAACACAGACAATGCACGGGGAAGAGGGGGGGTGGTAATGAGTGCCCTCGTGCAGTACCATCGGCATCGGCAGCAACAGTAACTGCATGAGCAGGGTCAGGAGCTGGAACATGATGAAAACTTTGATACGGTGGATGCGGATAACGAGTAGTATGCGGCAAGAGCTGCAGGGAACAGGGATGAATATGGAGGAGAGGGTGTGGAGGGGAGGATGGGGAGGTGGAGGAGGGAAGAGGGAGGAAGAGGAGGGACGATGAAGAAGGGGAATCAGGGTGAGGAGGATGAGGAGGGGGAGGGAGAGATGACGGGTGGGAAGATGAGGGGGACACCGAAGGGGAGGATCGGGGAGACGTGGAGGATGAGAGTTGGGAGGAATTTGGTGAGCAGTTGGAGAAAGAGGATGGGGGGATGGATGAGTGGCGGTTTCGGCTCCATCGTGCTAACCACCAGAGGCGGACGATTACGCGAAGCTAGAGCAGCGGCCCAACCTCTGCCACGTCTGGGACCAGACGCCAGTCGTCGTGGACACGGGCCTGCCACGCTTGAGTCTGTGGTCGGGCTGGGGCCAGGATCACTCTCTCCTCCTCCTCTTCCTCCGCTTCCTCCTCCTTCTCGAGGCCGGGGGATTGTGGAGTCGCTGTGGGTTTTAGACGAAACTTTACGATATATCACGTTGTTCCTCATCATTATGCTGATGTTTCCTTTCTCTTTTTTTCTCTCTCTCTCTCTCTCAATCTCTCCCACTCCCATTCCCATTCCATTCCCATTCCCAATACCATTACCATTACCATTCCCATTTATCAATTCCCATTCACATTACCGTTACCATTACCTTTACCTTTATCTTTACCTTCACCTGTACCATTACCATTACCATTGCCATTACAATTGCCAGTGCCATTACCATTGCCATTACAATTGCCATTATCATTGCCATTGCCAGTGCCGTTGCCATTGCCATGGTATTGCCATTGCCAGTAGCCACCCCGTTACCATTACCATTCCCATTACCATTACCATTCGCCACCACCATTACCATTGCCATTCTCATTAGCATTACCAACACAATTGCCATTACCATTACCATTACCATTACCGCTGCCATCACCATTGCAATTCCCATTCCCATCATCATTGCCATTACCATTACCGTTACCAGTACCATTTCCATTACCATTGCCATTATTTTTCCCACTACCACTACCATTTCCATTCCCGTTCCCGTTCCAATTACTACTACGATTCCCATTACCATTACCATTACCATTACCATTACCATGACCATGACCATGACCATGACCATGACCATGACCATTACCATTGCCATGGCCATTGCTATTGCCGTTGCCGTTGCCATTCCCATTACCATTGCCAATCGCTACCCCGTTACCATTGCCATAACCATTACCATTACCGTTATCGTCACCATTACCATTCCCAGTATCATTATCATTACCATTGTCATTGCCATTACCATTGCCATTGCCATTGCCATTCGCCACTACCATTACCATTGCCATTCGCCACTACCATTACCATTACCATTGCCATTGCCTTTCGCCACTACCATTACCGTTGCCAGTACCATTACCATTCCGATTAACATTCCCATTCCCAATACCATTACCATTACCATTACCATTACAATTGCCATTGCCATTACCATTACCATTACCTTTACCTCTACCTTTACATTTACCCTTACCATTCCCATTTCCGTTACCACTACCACTGCCATTTCCATGCCCGTTCCCATTCACATTCCCATTCCCATTCCCATTCACATTACCATTGCCATTAACATTACCATTGCCATTGCCATGGCCATTACCATTGCCATTCCCATTGCCATTGCCATTGCCATTACCGTTGCCGTTGTCATTGTCATTGCCATTGCCAGTCGCCACCCCGTTACCATTATCATTACCGTTACCATTACCAGTACCATTACCATTACTTCTGTCATTACCATTACCATTCGCATTGCCATCGCCATTGCCATTAGCCACTACCATTACCATTGCCAGTACCATTTCCATTGCCTTTCCCATTCTCATGACCATTACCATTACCATTACCATTATCACTATCATTTCCATTACCTTTACCTCTACCTTTACCTTTACCCTTACCCTTATCATTCCCATTTCCGTTACCACCACCATTACCATTCCCGTTCCCGTTCCTATTGCCATTCACATTCTCATTCCCGTTCCCATTCCCATTACCATTGCCATTATCATTACACTTACCATTGCCATTGACATGGCCATTATCATTGTCATTGCCATTGCCAATCTCATTGCCATTGTCATTACCATTACCGTTGCCATTGTCATTGCCATTGCCAATCGTTACCCCCTTACCATTACCATTACCATTACCATTACCAGTACCATTCCCGTTCCAATTACTACTACGATTCCCATTACCATTACCATTACCATCACCATCACCATTGCCATTGCCATTCGTCACTACCATTACCATTGCCAGTACCATTTCCACTCCCATTCCCATTACCATGATACTACCGCTGCCATTACCATTAGAGTTCCCAGTCTCATTCCCATTCCCAATACTATTACAATTTCCAGAACCATTACCAGTACCATTACCAGTGCCATTACCATTACCACTGCCACTATCATTTCCATTCCCGTTCCCGTTCCCATTCCCACTTCCATTCCCATTACCATTACCACTGCCATTGCCATTGCCAGTACCATTACCATTACCATTACCATTACCTTTAACTCTACCTTTACCTCGACCCTTACCATTACCATTGCCATGGCCATTACCATTGCCATTCCCATTGCCATTGCCATTACCATTACCATTACCGTTGCCATTGCCATTGTCATTGCCTCGCTACCCCGTTACCACTATCATTACCGTTACCATTACCAGTACCATTACCATTACCTCTGTCATTACCATTACCATTGCCATTGCCGTTGCCATTCGAGGATTTCAGTAAGAATTATTCAGTGGAGGGTTTCAGTAGGAATCCACATGTGGAGGATTTCGGTAGGAATCATTCAGTGGAGGGTTTCGATAGGAACCCTTCTGTCGAGGATTTTACAGTGAATCCTTCTTATGGGGGCGTCCAATAGGAATCCTTCTAGGGGGGAGGGCAGATGTGGTCACGTCGCATTCCTTTTTTTTTCTCCTGGCGCCCCACCCCCCCAGAAAAACAAGTTGTTGTTTTTTTCTGGGGGGGGGGGGGGCTGGAGAAAAACAAAAAAAAACAGAGAGGTAGCAGGAGAGGGAGAGGGGGAGCGGAGGAGGAGGAGGAGGAGGAGGACGACACAGAGCAGAGTTTGCACAGAAACAGTCGCGAACTCAGCGCGAAACCCTCGCGCGTGCGCTTTTGAACCCCTGCGACTCCACAATCCCCCGTTCTCTCCTTCTCCTACTCCTCCTCCGCCTCCTCCTCAGCCTCCTCCTCCACCTCCTCCTCCTCCTCCTCCTCCTCCTCCTCCCGCTCCCACAGGGCAACGTCGGGAGGGGACAGGCTCGGGGGCAGACACATCGGCACCCAACCGCCCATGGATCGCCGACGCTGGCGCTCGAAGAAGACAAAAACGCCACAAACATAAACTGTTGGCGCTCCGCGCGGAGGCGGAGGCGGAGGCGGAGGCGGAGGCGGAGGCGGAGGAGGAGGAGGAGGAGAAGGAGGAGGAGGAGGAGGAGGAGGAAGGATAATCTGCACTCGAAGACGAACACAACTGCATACACATAAACTTTTGGCGCTCCGCGCGGATTTCTTGGATCTCCGCTGGCCTCCCCCCTTGCGGCGCCTCTGGCACCGCCCCTGGCGCGTTCCGCGCGCCAGGGAGGGGGTTCCAGCGCAGATCGAAGAAATCCTCGCGGAGCGCCACAAATTTATGTTTATGGCGTTTGGTCTTCTTCTAGTTCGGAGGGGACAGGCTCGGGGTCCGACACCCAATCGCCCACTGATCACCGATGCTGGCACGTTTGGCCACCCGTGCCACGAACGGACGGTTTCGCTATTGGGAGCCCGTTGTCAATCTATCTCCCCCGATGAGCCGGCCCCCTTCAATAAAGCTGCCCCTCAGCTCATCCTTCTGCTCTCCGCTTCTCTTTCTTGGCGCGCCGCTTGGGGTGTGTCACCGTGAGCACTGGCGGGCAGGCCCAGTTCAGCGCACTTCGCAAGCGCATGTGGCAGGACTCACCTGTGACGGGGCCTCTCTCCCTCCTGCAGCTGCGGCGCCGCATCCTCATTCTCTCCTTCATCCCGGAGGATGCGTCATGGGGGGACGATGCATGGGGAGCAGCGAGGGCTGCAGCAAAGGGGGTGTCTAAGGCCCCATGAAAGGGGGTCTGCCGGGCCGAGGAAGGGGGCCTGTAGGGCCCGTGAAGTGCACCTTTCTCCCCCCACCCTTTATCGCCCCCCAGTAAGTCGCGCCCAATCATCCTTCTCCTCCTCCTCCTCGCCAATCCCCTCCTCTTTCCCCTACCCCATCCTCCCTCTCTCCATCCTGCCCCTCCTGCCCCGCACGGACGACCTCCCAGAGCTCCATGGTGGGCAGGAACTACGGCTGAGAGGTCCAGAGGGCGATGAGAAAGAGTGGTGACCATAACCTGAAGTCGGGCGTGTCCCTCTACAGGAGGATTAATCAAAATAGACTAAAAATACTCCAGGGTCGTTTTTCTCCGATTCTTGTTTCACTATTGTTGAGTATTTCTTGAAACATCCTTATTTGTTCTTCTAAAACCCGCCTGTAGGGGACAAGCCCGACCTAACCGTAACCAGGAGGAATGGGTGTAGTAAGGTAGAGGGGATGAGGATCGTGAACCACTCGACCCTCCTCTTTCTCCTTCCACTTTTTTCTCTTCTTGCAGCATCTCGCTCTCCTTTCTCGTCTTTCCCTGTCGTTCTCTCCCCCCCCATCCTTTCACGTCCGCCTGGCCACCTCCCTCCTCGGGTTCCCCCCTCCATCGCTCTTTTTCCTCTCTCTTTCCTTGGTATCGCTCGGACGTGTGCACTTTTTCTCGGCGCTTTCTCGGCGGGAGTATTAAGGAGCCTCCTGGATCATCCTGGGAAAAAAAACAGCCACGCACGAAACCGAAAGAGGCACAGGGAATGGACGTCCGAGCGATGGCCAGTTTCTCGCTCTCCGTCATCCTTCGTCCACAGCGCTGCTCCCTGGACCGCTCCCGGGGGGCGCGCTCCGACCGGGATCTCGAGCCGAATCCGGCGGTGGCGGCGAGGGCCTCCCAGGAGGCCGACCAAGGGGATAATCGGGGGCCTCCTACCAAAGCCTACCCTAAACCCTAAAGCGGTAAGGGCTGCCCTTTTCTCCTCCGACCTCCCCCCGCCTCGGACCTCCCAAGGAGAAGGGCACGGGCCACGTGCCGACGGGGATCCGCCCGCAGCCCGGGCAGAACTGGGCCAGGCTCTGGGCCAGTGCCATGGCGACCGGCTGGGACGGGATAGTGCCGATTTAGCCTCGGTTAGCGTCGACGAGCGTCGATCAGCGTCGATTCGCAAGAGCCGACAGGATGGTACGGGACGCTCCCATGAGTTGCCACAGAAACCAACGGTGCATGTCGAACCTCCAGTTGCAGTAAATATTAAGAAGCTCGCTGAGGCAGCGTGGAGCATTCGCAGAAAGAGCTGGGAGGCTTCGGGCGTAACACTCGCAGCCGAGTGGCCCAGACGACGGACCGCAGTTGCCTGCAACTTCGCTCCTCTTTTTCTTACATCGCCCTGGGAAGCGAAATCTGGGAAGGTTCCTCCCTTCCTCCCTTATTCGTCTTCCCTTTCCTCCCGCCGTTCCTTTCCTGCTTCCTCTGTCCTCGCCTTTCCTCTGTCTTCATCCTGGTCCTTTCACTTCTTTTCTCCTCCCTCATCCTCATCCTTCCTCGCTCATCCTCGCTGCTCCCTCCTCTTCCATTACCCGTCTTCTTGTCCACCCTTTTCTTTCATTTTTTCGTGAAGTATTTGTCTCCCCACCTAATCATATCAAGCAGTTCCTCTACCTGCAGAGGAGGACGATGAGTGGGAGGCGGGATGGGGACATAGGAGCTGGAGAAAGAGGGGTACATAGGAGGAAGTGGACGGGGACGAGGAGGGAGGCCATGATTCTGTTCGGGGGATAGTGTGCATTGTGCACCCCGTGCTTTTTGCCGTGACGCCGAGGTGAATTCTTCGCTCCCCAGCGGCACGCGCTGCGATATCTGGGAGCTCGACGGTTTCTTCCAGCAGCAGTGGCTCTCCGGCAAGCTGAATCATGGGCCTGGTGCGGTTGGGCGTGCTCCCTGCTCTTCCTCCCTCCTCTCCTTCTCCACCTCCTTGGAAGAGAGGGAGCGAGGGAGGAGCAAGAGAACGACGACGACCTGGGGAAGAGCTTTGCAGAGGCGGGGGCCCGAGGCGGAGGCGGAGGCGGAGCAGGGCGCAGACGGCAAGGACGAGGACACAGGACGCGCGAGAAGGCGGAGGCGCGGGCACGGGGGCAGGGGCGGAGGCGGGAGGTGGCTGGGGGGCGACCGTGATGTTGCTGCACTGCTCCTTCATCACCTCCACTCTTCCTACTCCTCCTCCTCCTGCTCCTCCTCCTCCTGCTCCTCCTCCTCCTCCCGCTCCCAAAGGGCGACGTTAGGAGGGGACAGGCTCGGCGGCAGATACATCGACACCCAATCGCCCATGGATCGCCGATGCCGGCACTCGACGACGAGAAAACGCTATAGACCTAAATTTTTGGCGCTCCGCGCGGATTTCTTGGATCCGCGTTGGGGCCCTCCCCGGGCGGCGCCTCCGTCGCCGCCCCTGGTGCGCTCCGCGCGCCAGGGAGGGTGGTCCAGCGCAGATCCAAGAAGTCCGCGCGGAGCGCCAACAGTTTATTGTCTATGGCGTTTTCCCTGTTCGATCCTCCTCAGTTATTACCAATGCTCCCCTTGCCCTCTTCTAATCAGTTACAGTGGAATCCCATGCCAAGAAACACCCCGCTTGCCTCCAGGGTGTCTGAGGTTTCTTGGGCCTCGATGGTTGTGTTATGGAAAGCGTGACGTTCCAACACCAAAAAACTATGAACGTCCTGGGGTCTCAGTGGCTCCAAAAAGGGTCCTAAAGGTCCCATGTAGGGCCCGTTTTTCAACCCCCATTTAGGTCACCCCCCCAGGGCTCGTTTCGACTCCTTCGATTCGATTCGACGCGATTTCGATGGCTTCCGATCCCGATTCGGTTCGACCTGGGATTCCGACTTGGGTCCCGCTCTCTTGTTGGAGGCAAACTGGCCTGCCGATTTCTGCCGATCCGACTTTTCCCGACTCGGCTGCCGATCTCCGCCGATCCGACTCGTGTCGACTTCCGACCCGACTTGTCGATTCGATTCTGGGCTCTCCTGCCCCCCATTTGCACCCGCCCGAAGAAAGATCACATCCTCTTCGCCGCTCTCTCCGCGCACGCGAAAAGGGGCCCGCGCGCGCCCCCCCGGCCTCCTTCCCTTCCCAGGCTGGCCCCCTGAGCATACACAGCACGGTCCGACCGAGGTACAAGGTCGAGCTCGGTTCGGGGAGGGTGCCCTGCGGTAGGTTTGCGTCGTGTCGACCAGCGGCGACCCCAGCGCGGGCGTTCAAGGTTGAACGCCGCCGGCGGCCCAGAATCGATCGATGTGGAACGATCGGACGTTGCGGTGACGGCCGATCGTTCAAGGTTGAACGACCCAGCGCGGTGTCAAAAACCAACGCTGGGGTCGGCACGACACGAACCTGCCGTAGGGTTCTTCGTGCTTGTTGGATGTTTTTGTACACTCTGGAAGAGGGTACCCTCGAGTGATCTTGTGGCTTGGGGTGTTTGGGCCGGCGGAGGGTCTCATGTTCTTGAAGGATGTTCTTCTGTCCTAGGTCCGACTGTAGTACGCGTACCGCTTGACGGGCCCAACCGCCATGTCGTCAAGAAGGTCCACCTCCCCAGACCCCCCTCGCGTTGTGAACGAATCGCGGCAGGAGGGCTTTTGCTGTGTCTTCGGCCTCCGGGGGCCTAGGATGAACAACCGGTCCTGGGGAAAGGGTCCAGATTTCTGGGGGTCGTCGTCGTGAAAAATCACGGCGTCGGGGGTCTGGGCCCCCCTCCTTCTTGGAGAGCGTTTTGCTCCTCCCCAGGGCAACGCTCCCCACCCCTGGGTAGCGCCAACGATCGTGCTGGGGGGGGGGCCTGGCGGGACCTGGTACCTGCATGCTGTGGTGCACACAGGCGACTGGTGCGCCGGTGACGCGGACGCACCCTGGGGGGTATACGCCGCGGCCGCCGTTACCGCTACCCTTCCGCCCGAGTCCCCCCCGCCCGGGGTAACGACCGTTACACGGGAAAGGACACAAAAATCAACGGTCACTTGCAAAGCACGTGCTTGGCGGTGGCGATCGAATTCCTGTCCACAGTCGTTGCTGCTCGTTGCTGCTCTGCAGTGTACCTCATCTGCTGCTCGTTGCTTGCCACAGTCGGCCCATCCTCGCAAACATTCGCAAACCTTGGTGTTGGTTGTGCTGACGCTGCCTACCTCGGATACGTTTATTCTGGCCGATGCTGAAGGCCACATGATTGGAACCCAGAAATCTGCACAATGCGGGATGGCGACCGAGATCGACGATTGCATATTCTCACAGTGCTAGGTGAGCTTTTCAAATGTTGAGCTCTTCCTCCATTGGTGGTTGTCTCTATTCATGTTCCTTGAGGCATTGTGGATATACATGCGAGCGCAAGGAGCCGTGCAGCGCCGTCTAGCCGCTTTCCCAGGGTGCCTCAACTGGGTCTCTGTCCAGGGTAAGGCTTGGAATTTGTCTGCACGGGCCTCTCATCGCACAAGCTGGTTTGGGCTCTTTGGCATCTCCTGGCAATTTCTGGGTTTGGCTGCACTGTCCTACCCTCGCAAACCCTGGTGTGGGTTGCGCCGGCTATGGCCGAATGCAGGCTGGATGGTTGGAGTCCAGAGTGCAGTGGCGCACGCTCATGACCGAGTGAGTTTCTTCGATCATCTCCAGGTTTCAGGGCTATTTGCGATCTTGATTATTGGTTTGGCACTGTGCGATCTCGAACCGCTGGTCAGCTGACTCCGCAATGTATTTTGTTGGGCAGCTGCGCACTCGCCGTCCACAGCCACAGCCCCCCGTGCTTCAATCAGGTTGTTGCTGCTGTTGCTCACGTGTCGTGGTCGAGATGTATCGCACTGCTGTCCCTGACGTGTCGTGGTCGAGATGTCTGCATCGCACTGTCTTTGATTGGCGAAAAGCATGTCCGTATCCGCGGCCTCGCGGGCCAGGCCCTTGGGCCAGGCCCTTGGGCCGCGTCCCCGCGGATACGGGGCATCTCTTCGCGGATGCCCCGCGCGGAACGCATCCGTGCGATCGCGCATCCGCGGGACCGCGCCGCGGAATGCAGACCGCGAGGGCGCGGATACGGATACGTGCGACGCTCGTGAGTTCTCCCGTTGCCATGGCTGCCGCCATTCCGCCCGCCCTGTCGTTCGGTCGCAAAAACATGTGAGCCTGGTATACCTTCTTAATTCCGTCTTCAGCGTCGACGAATTCGCGTCGATGGGCGCAGGGGACTCGGTGCCATCGCGCACCCTTAGCGTCGGTTCGCGCGACTGGCGTGGATTCAGCGTCGATGCAGCGTCTACCAGCGTCGACCAGCTTCGAGGAGCGGAGGAGGAGGAGGAGGAGGAGGAGGAGGAGGAGGAGGAAGAGGGAGGAGGAGGAGGAGCGGGAGGAGGAGGAGGAGGAGGAGGAGGAGGCGACAGGATGGTATGGGAGGCTTCCACGAGGTGCCACCGCCCTGTCGCTCTATCGTGCCTCGGGCCGCCTCTGGGTGCCTCCCCGCCGGGGGCCCTCCTCTCCTTCGGGAGCGGGGGCGCGGCATCGGTACCTTCCGGTTTCCCCCTGCGCGTCGCTCGCGAGTTCTCCCGCTGTCATGGCTGCCGCCACTAGGGGGCCACATGCGAACCCTACCCCTACCCCCCACGATTTCTGAGGGGGAGGGTGGGGTTCACTTCGTTCGGGAGCTCCCGAACGAAGTGAACCCCACCCTCCCCCTCAGAAATCGTGGGGGGAGGGGTAGGGTTCGCATGTGGCCCCCTGGCCACTCAGCCCGCCCTGTCGTCCGCGTGGTTCGGTCCGCCTCTGGTGCCTCGCTGCCGGGGGCCCTCCTCCGCTTCGGGAGGGGGGGGGGGGGCGAGCGTGGCCGGGCGGGCAGGGCTTCGCTCGCGCACCTCGCGCTCTGTTGCGCCTCGGCAGTGCGGCGCAGCCGCTCCATGCTCGGCACGTGCTGCTGCCACTGCGCGACCGCCCGACCGACCCCCTCTTTTCTCGGAGGAGGGAAAGGCAGGGCTGAACCTAGGCAATGTTTTGTTATTTGTTTGGCGCTTAGTTTTATCACTGTTTTTCGTTACGAACGCGCCTCAAACACGACTCAAAACACGCTTTCGTTTTTTACCCATACCGCTACCCTTCGCCCGTTTTCCCAGTTTTGGGCTTCCCTGGGAGGCCCTCGTCGCCACCGCTTGGATCGCCTCGAGCTGCCAGACGCTTCGCGTATCCACACCTCCTTACCGCCTGCCGCTGGCGCTTCCGCCTGCGGCTGTAAAAAAAAAGTATCCACACCTCCTCTCACGGGCCAGGGCCACCATCAGGGTCCAGGCCCCTGGCATGCCACCCACAGTGGTGAGCACCGGAGCGGCACAGTCGCAACACCCGACCGAGGCTCCGACTACCACCCCCTTCTCCGACCATGAAGTGGACAATGCCATCGGACAGGTCTTTCAACGGGTGCGGGACCTACCTTCGACTGTGGCGCTCGATGAAGGCGCCAGGCGCCACCAGCTCAACGGCGACGCCACGCGGGCCCTTGCTGCCACCACACAACACCACGTCACGGTCGTACACGGTCCCCCAGGAACCGGCAAGACAGTCTTCTCAGTAGCCACCATGGACACCTGGGCCGACTCTTTCCCTGAAGGACAAGCGGTGGCGCTGACTGCAGGTTCCAACACAGCAGCGGACCAGCCAGCCCTCGGTCTCGGCAGCGCACACAGGCGGACAGGCTAGGGCAGAGGACGGGCTACCCCAACAGATGCGTCCGTCTGGCCAAAGACTTCCGAGTGACGAAGGCACTAGCCCCGCTCACCCCGGGGGGGCACTTTCTCAGGACGCACGGGAGGCCCCCATACGAAGGCGGGTCCTCTAAAGAGTTTACCGCATTCCGTGCCCAGCTCCTCAAAACCGCCAAGGCGATCATCGCAACGCACAAATCCGCGGAGGCCCTCAGGTACGCTGCCCCGGTAGCCTTGCTCATCATCGACCAGGCAGGGCAAGCCCATGAGCTTATGGCTGCCATGTCGCTCGACAGCGCCATCCGCTCTGGCGGGCATCTGGTGCTGGCAGGTGACCCTAAGCAGCTTCCCCCCACCGTGCTTTCAAGGAAGGCCGCCGACCTCGGGCTCTGCCTCTCCATCTTCGATCGGCTGCACACCGCCCTGAGGGACGATACAACGGCTGTTGTGCAGCTAAGCCTCTGCTACCGTATGCACCCCCTGCCTCTGTCATGGCTTAACTTTGCCTTCTACAACAACACAATGCGTTCTGGGCTCACCGACCCCTTCGCCCAGAGGCCGCTGATCAAGGGACTACCATGGCGGATGCGACTGCCTTGGGATGACGAAAGGCTTGACGCACTCGCCGAGGCCACGACCACCCCCAAAGAAGACATGGAGAAGATGCTGCGGGACCTTGCGCCAGGCTCCCAGCGCGAGGAGGAGCGGCACCGGTTCTTCCTTGTCGACAACCCCTTCCTCGAGGTCACCTCAAGGCTCCATTCAGGGTGCGCGAATCTGCTGGAGGCCGCGCAGGCAGTCGACATCGTACGCGCACTCCTGCCTGCCATTGATAACGGCGCAACGGTGCGGGTCGTAGTAGGTTATCAGCTGCAGTGTGCAGTCTTGGAGAACGGTTGGCCCCAGTCAGGGAGGAGCATCAGTGGTGCCCTCGGACAAGCCAAGTCCAAGGGCAAAGGGAAGGGCAAGGACGGGCCAGCCCAGGCAGGCGGACCCCCCTCACACCCCCCCACACACGCCACCGACACCAAGGACTACGCCAGCGTGTTCGTGCAGTACAGCTCTCTTCTCACCGGGATCGATCTGTGCTTCCCCGGGTTACGGCAACTCGCTGAGGAGCACCTTGCAAACGGCGGGCTCACCTTCTCCACCATCGACTCCAGTCAAGGCGGCGAGGCAGATCTAGTCATATACCGGGAAACTCGGTCCAACAAGTGGCATGATTGGGGATTCATCGACAACCCCAACAGGGCGAATGTAGCGATCACCCGCGCCACCACCAACGTGGTCATCATCGGTGACGGAAGGATGTTCGGCACAGTCAGAGTACGGGAGATTCGCCAAGCTATGGGTACGCTGCAAAGGCGACGACTTGGGTTCAAGGTGGAAGCTCGAGACCGATGAGGATTTCGACCCCATCAGGGACGTCATGACGTGGATCCCTGCAGCACCGGGGGCGACGCCATAAAAGGGTTCGACGACGCCGTCAAGAAAGCCAAGGCCTCCATGGAGAACAACCTTGCCGACCGCATCGCCGCCCCGCTCGACCCCCTGTTCTCGCGGGGCAAGCTCGGCGAGGCCATCGCGGGCAGCTTGCAGAGGCTGGTCGAGGACCCCGCGATGGGGGTCATCCTTTACACTGCGGCTGGGCCCCGCCCCCACCAATGGTCTACGGGCGCCGCCCCGAGACAGCCTGGCAGCCTCGATCGGAAGGCTTGGAGCCACCTCGGGTACTGGAAATTGGAATCGACGCCAGCAACCTTGTCTACAACCTGACGTTGGCGGCCCTGGTCTGGTTCCTGGGACTGGGCACCCCCTGGGCCAAGTCGCAATGCATGGCCCCGCTGGACTCACCCCCCCCCTTTTGCCCCACGCCAAGGGCAATAACCGCCGCCCCGAGCCCTCCATCAGGTGCACTCCTGTCGGCATGCTCCCTGGCCCCCCCCCCGCGGCCTGGAGTCCAGGCACGGGCAATTGCAGGTGGGACTGGTTTAGTTTCGCGAGCGGGAGTCGGCCCTGAGCTGTGGGGGAGGAGGGGCCTCTCTACTTTGTTGTTTTTTCTCTGCTTATGAGATCGCGAGCGGTAGTTGGTCTCGCCGAAGTGATGCAGTTCAGGGCCGGATACTTCTTTTTCTATGTTTCAGAATTCTGGCGAGCAAGCAGATGTCAGATTTGCTTCCCCACGTGGTTGTCACTATGCCGGGGATTGGTTGTGCAGCGCCCGTGCGATGACACGGGATCGAGAGACAAGCATGTGGCTTCTGGTCAATTCGCTGCCTCGGGAAATGAGTTATGTTACCGGCAGCCCTGAGTATATTCATGTTGCTGCCTTTCGGCTTTCTCACCGCACGTCCCCACGTAGGGCTCTCTGCTTCGCCCCTCGCCGCATGGACGGTGCGGGTGCGGGGTGGGTGGGTGGCCCTTGGAAGTGACAGGTCTAGACGCGCCTCGTACAAGATGTGGAGGAATGAACGTAGTAAATGTTTGTTCTTGTATGCGCCCAGGAGTGTTTTTTTGGGCACGGCAGCAGCGTGGCCGTAGCTGCTTCGGGCCCGCCCTGCCCTCCCATTTTCTATACTTCAGAATTCTGCTGAGCAAGCAGATGTCCGATCTCTCTCTCTCTCTCACTCTCTCTCTTTCTTTTTTTCCACGCGCTTGTCACTGCGCGGGGGGTTGGCTGCGCAGTGCCCGTGCGATGACACAGGATCGATAGACAAGCATGTGGCTTTTGTCAACTCGTTGCCTCGAGAAATGAGTTATGTTTTCCGACAGCCATGTGTATATTCATGCTGCTGCCTTTCGACTTTCTCACCGCACGCCCCCACGCTGCGCTCTCTGCATCGCCCCTCGCCGCATGGACGGTGCGGGTGCGGGGTGGGTGGGTGGACTCTGGAAGTGGAAGGGCTTAGATGCGCCTCGTACAAGAGTGCCATCTTGGAGGGCATCGATCAAAGACATGGGGAGCTTCAATTAGCGCTCCCCCCCAAAGAGGCCAAAATGGGGCCAACACCCCGGTAAAACCAATGATTTTGTCTCCCCCGCCAAGGCCGTTTTGGACGCCCTGACCGCTCGCGACCGGCCGCGTCCAGGTCCAGGGGAGGGTGTAGGGGGAGGGGTGCACCCCTCCCCAAAGGGGAAGAAGGGAGTTGGAAGTAGAGCCGCCTTAGCCCACCTACGCCCACAAGGGCTGGTGGGATTCTGGTCCGAACTCCCCCCGAAGCGGTATCGGCACCTCTAAGTTTCCCCATACTTTTCCCTTCCACGTGGTTTGGTCGGATGTGGCTAGGACGAGGATCGATCCGTTCCAGAGCGGTCGGGGGCGCTCCCAAATCCTTCTTGGAAAGGGCTATGGGAACGGCCGCGGCGCCCGAGACATCCTCTGCAGCCGCCGGACTTCAGAGATTCTCGATGTATTTTCACCCGATGTGATCCTCGTCTCGGCTTCGTTTTATTCGGGCTACCCCACGGAAGGTTCTTCATGGACCACATGGACCTCGTGAGGGAGGCCTTCTGGCACCAGCCCTCGGCGGAACGCGCGGGGGAGGCATTGAAGTGGCTCATGTACAACGAGAAGGCTCAGCGCAACGAAGCCCACACCTTCACCTCGACGCATCCTCGCCTGCTGCTTTTCGGCTCATTACGAACATTCTCGACGACCCAGGGCGGTCCCAGCCTGCTTCAATACAGCTCCAAGACAGCAGAAAACCCAGCCCAGGTTCCACACGAGATTAGCCATGACATCGTCAATTTGCGATTGTCATGGCCAAGAGTTTTTCGGGAAGCCCAAAGTCTTTCTGAGGGACACACCAAGAGGCTCCACAGAGGCTCCCAAGCTGGATGCCCTGTGCGCCACGGCATTGGAATCCACACGCACACATTGACAAACATATGCATTCATTCGTGTATGTGTATTGTACTGTCTCTCTCATTTGCTCTCTCTCTCTCTATATATATATATGTATCCCTCCATCGCTCGTTCTCTCTCCCTCTCTCTTTCTCTGTTTCTATCGTTATCTGCCTCTCTCGTCTCAATATATGTCTCTTCCTCTCTCTCTCTGCCTTCTCTTATTTCTGTTTTGTCTCATGGTTCGTCTGATGGTTCTTCTTATTTGTTTGTCTTTCTCTCTCTCTCTCTTTTTCTCTCTCTCTCTCTCTCTCTTCCGTAGCATATCGTACTTATCGTCGTTCTAATCGTTTTGTTTGTTTGATCGGTGGCGCTGGGTTGGGTGAGCCGCCGCCCTCTGGCGTGTTGAGGCGCCTTTGTAGCCAAACGTTGCACCGAAGTCTCGCCAAGCTAGTGGACTACGTGCTCCCCGGCCGTTGTTGGCGGAAAAAGGGAGAAGGAGGAGGAGGAGCAGGAGCAGGAGGAGGCGGAAGAGGGGGGATGGGGGAGGGGTAGGGGGAGGGAGAGAGGGAGGGAGAGGAGAGGGAGGAGGAGGAAGAGGAGGAGGACAGCAGAGGAATACATTGCTCCATCGAGCTTCCACACAGCCATCAGATCGCATGCCATCATGCCACTGTTGGAAAAGCCAGCCGCGTGTTGTGTCATGCCAGTTTTGAAGCGAACGTAGTGTAGGAAAAGTTGCATGTCAGCGTCACCCTCGATTGCTGTGCTGTATCCAGTCTTGCCTGCATGGTTCTCGTTTCTGGGGAAGCGACGTGGCCCGAGAAGGGGCACTGCCCGCGGGGGCTGCCTGGGAACCGCTCGACCCACTCGCTGAGGAGGAAGGCGCCTCACAGGCTGGCGTCCACCACAGGTGCATGACACCCTGACGCATTGCTCTCTCTCTCTCTCTCTCTGTCCCTGTCTCTATCCATACTTTCGGTTTCTTGCTGGATTCGGCCGACCGGGGAGGAGGAGGAGGAAGGATAAGGACGCGGAGAGGGAGAGGGAGAGGGAGAGGGAGAGGGAGAGGGAGAGGGAGGAGGAGGAGGAGGAGGAGGACGAGGAGGAGGAGGAGGAGCGAACCACACCAGCAGCTCAACATAGGTAAAAGACGAGCCCGTGACTCAGGGGCCTAGGAGGAGATGGACAGTAGAGACGGTGGCAATATCAGATGACGATGCCTTGCGACCGACTTATTGGCCACCAGCCAGTCCTCCGCGTTTCTGCCAGTCGCAGAGGCTCCCCCCGCTTTGGCGAGACCTCTGCAACAAACAGGTGTGGAAGGGACCGCTTTGGGGTCCCGTGGAAGGGCCAGTTTGGCCCAGAATGGTTTGAACCCCCGAGAGGGGAGGGAAGAGGAGGGGAAGACGGGCAAGCACCAGCAGGAGCAGGGAGGCGGAAGCCCTAGCCGATCTGGGGGCGTGGTGAGCCATACGTTTGAGGAGGAGGGGGAGGAGGAGGAGGAGGAAAAGGAAACCTGTTGGGGGCCTGTTGCCGTTTGCACTGAGCCTGTTGAGGGCCTCTGGAGGCCTTGGGGGGCCTTTTGGGGCCTCTCGGGAGCTCCCTTCTGGGGCGTATTGAGCGCGTCTTGGACCGTCTTGAGCCTTCCGTGAGCTGTGTTTGGGCTCTCATGGGCCATCTCTGCGCTCTGGAGGACCGTCCAATGCGTTTCTCGGAGACTCGGCGGTTCGTGGGGTTATTGGGAGCGGGCCCACTGTGTTGTAAACCGACCACCCACGTCTGTCGAGCTCCTGGGATCGCCTGGCGATTCTGGGAAAATCGTGGCCCGGGTCCTGAAGAAAGTACACTCCTTCGTCGAACAAATGTATGAGTGCTGGGGCACTCCACTACGCGCTGTGCCATAGGACCTTCATGTTGTTTACCACTTTGTTATTATCGTCGCCCCTCCTTGGTATTCCTGGTAGTGGCTGCTTTCTTCACGGTTGTCCTTGTCGTCGTCGTCGTCGCCCCCTTTTGTTGGTGTTGGTGTTGGTGTTGTTGTTCCTCCGTTTCTTCTTGTCGTTGGTGCTGTATCTTTTTATGTTACGTCGTCGTTGCATTGTCGTGTTCATTGTCGGCGTTCTCTTTCTTCCCCTCCTCTGACTGCTCCTCCCCGAGCAGTCCTGACATACGGGGGCCACAATGTCCGAAGCGGCCCTTCCTCAGACAAGCCGCGCGCCGCGCCTTTCTTCCGAATTGGAACTAGGCTTCTGGAGAGTGCCTTCCCAGGAGAGAGGACGAGCATGACGAAGAGTTTAGAGGGAGACTACCGAACACCCAACCATTGTACCCCAAGCCCGCAGCCCAAGCACACCTAAAAGCTTCACCATAATCTGAGAATTCGATTGCAAGACCTGAGCCCAGATCCGAACACTCAGCCATGAATTTGGAATCCGCAATCCTTGCGTACCCCCTTGAGCTGCACACGTGACCACAATCAACAACAGCGACAGCATATCCAAGCCCCCACCTGTGCCCGAGCGCGGACCCTGACCCCAAGCCCTGAATCAGAGTCCCTATCCACTTAAACCCTAAACGCTAGCCGCGGCCCCACAATCCGAGCTCTCAACCAGACGTCACAGGCAATAACACCTTAACCTTAGCCTCAACACAAGCCCCGACACTAAGCTTTGCACCAGGAGCCCTCAAAAAATCCCCAGTTCTACCCCGAACTTACACTTCCGCTCCCTCATCCTTGAACCCAAGTCCAGGCCCTCGCGCAATCTCCAATCCCACACACCCTGTAACTGAGACGCTGCTCCGAACCCCGAAAATCGAGTATTCTGAGCCCACCTTCGCAACGCCCGCGATAGCTTCGACAGTCTCCGTTTCGGATATTGGTTGGAGGTTCTGTCGTTGTGTTTTCGCTAGGCTCCAAGATGAACAATTGGATTTCAGCGCTGGCGAAGCGCACACAATTGTTCCAGCTGGAGGTATGTATCGAGCTTCTACGGCTGCCCAGTGACAGGAACGATGGTTGGGCACATTAGACCGCCATGGCGGGGCACTCGCATGAAGCATGCTGACACACACACACTGACTGAAGAGAGGCCTGCGCTTCGCAGCCGGGTGGCCCCGCAGAGGACCCGCAGATGGCTTGAGCCATCGGACCGGATCCCATTTCCAATGCAACACTTCAGAGCCCCGAATCATCAGAGGTAACTCGGGTCAGGGATAACTCGGGTTCGTTTTTTCGGGAATCCGAACCCGAGTTACCCCGGACCCGAGTTACCCCGGATAACTCGGGCGTCCAGAGCCCCGAATCATCAGGGGTAATTCGGGTCAGGGATAACTCGGGTTCGTTTTTTTCGGGAACCCAAACCCGAGTTACCCCAGACCCGAGTTACCCCGGATAACTCGGGCGCCCAAACACTCTTGCTCCTCCTTCCTTCTCCTCCGCAGAAGGGGGACGCTGTTGGTCTACACATACGCCTGGGAGACTACAAATACACTAACCGGAACATGCCGATCTCGTACTACATTGACGCGTTGGACAAGGTGAGGGCGAGGATCGCTTGGCTTCCACGTCGTCTCCTGCCCCTCCACCTCCACCTCCTCCTGCTCCTCCTCCGCCTCCTCTCGTGCCCAGGAGCCCAAACAAGCCCTTGACATGCGTGATCTTTTCGGACGACATTCAGGAGGCGATGAGCATGACGGGAGCGCTGAGCCAGTGCAGCAAGCGCATGCCAGTGCCGCCCGACCTGACCAGTGACAGTGACGCCTTCTACATGCTGGGCCTCATGCCGAACATCATCATCGCCGATTCCAGCTTCTCCTTCTGGGCAGCCCGCCTCGCGCCTCACAACCCCTTCGTGGTCGCGCCGGGCATTACCAAGGACAGCTCCACCGCGCAGTCCGCCTACGAGTATCTTCGGGTGTTGCTAGAAGCTCCCCTGGCCCAAGGTGCCCCCAGGATTTCCAAGGAGCCCCCCACGACCTCCAGAGCACCCCTCGCGAGGTCCAGAGGGCCCCAGGAGCTCCAACACAGAGCGAATAGAACAGCTGGGGGCGCCCTGGAGCCCAGTTCCCAACCATCCTGTGGTGTTGGGTCCTCGTTTTGATTAGATAGTCCTCGCATTCTCCTCCTTCCTCCCTTCCTCCCTCCTCCTCCCCCTCCTCTCCCCCCTCTTCCCTGCGCTTCACCCACCCAGTACAGCGTTTCGTGGCCCCAAAGGCAGCTCCACCGACGGCCCCAGTGCTACCGCCCGCAAGCGTCCCCCCCCCACCCAGTACAGCGTTTTGGTTCCCCCCCCCCACCCAGTACACCGCTTCGTGGCCCCATAGGGAGCTCCACCGACGGCCCCTGTGCAACCGCCCGCATGCGTCCCCCCCACCCAGTACAGCGGTTCGTGGCCACGTAGGGAGCTCCACCGAAGGTCCCAGCACCACCGCCCGCATGCGTCCCCCCCACCCAGTACAGCGTTTCTTGGCCCAACAGGGAGCTCCACCGAAGGGCCCTCTGCTGCCGCCCGCATGCTGGCCCCAGTGCTGCCGCCCGCATGCGCCCCTTCCGCCTAGTACAGCGTGTCGTGTCCCCATAGGGAGCTCCACCGAAGGCCCCAGTGCTACCGCCCGCATGCGTTACCCCCCACCCAGTGCAGCGCTTCGTGGCCCCACAGGGAGCTCCACCGAAGAAACTATCCGCAATTGCAGCATTCACAACTGCAGATGGCGTGGGCGATAACGGCCCTGATCGGCTCTCTCCCTCCCCCCCAACCCTGGATCACGTCACGCTACTTGCCCACACTTGCAAAGGTGTCCGACGGATCTTTCGGAGGAGTTCTTGAGATCTCCGGCACCCCCCCGCGGAGATGTGATCGGGGGGTCGATCACCCCCGATCACGCCCGTTATCGCAAATAATGACGACAACAAAAAAGGGGCCTTGGGCCAGGGACACCTTGTTAGCACCGCCCGATTATCTGCTGCAGACGCCCGGCTGGGCCATCGTCAACACCACCACCGACCTGGCCGACCAGTACAAG